TGTGTGTGTGTGTGTGTGTGTGTGTGTATGTGTGAGAGAGAGTGAGAGTGTGTTTTGCTGCCTTTTTTTAAACCGCTGATAAAAACATCTTCCTTCTTAAAAAGCAAAGCAAATTTCTCACACATGTTGTCGCCCTTTGTTTTAGTACTTGATTTATTCACTTGCAAATGCACAGACTTACACACAATGCAGTTAGTAAGAAATCACACTAATATTTCATCAAATTTTCTTTAGAAAAGAGGTTTGTTCCTGTTTGTTCTGACCAGTTTGTCTGATTAATATAGAACACAATCACGCAATTACACACCACTGCAAGCATCACATCTGCCATTAATAAAGCTACTTTCAGACATGCACCTAACTCTGGAGATTCTCAGCACTTTCTGCGTAAGAGCTGCATGTGTGAACACAAATGTCTAAGTGCGGAGGATTTTTTGCTGTTGTGAACGCATCTGTGCAGAAAATCTCCTATTGTGATCTGAAAACGCAGCATGTATCTAATAGTGGCTACATGTTTACATGACTACATGAACCTGACCCCAAACACACACTAAAATCTCTTGTTGTCAGATTTTCTCTGTTCAGAAAAGAGCATTTATCTGATGACTAATATCTGCGAACCTGGCTGTTCGTAACCTTCACTAGGCCACCCTGTTTCTCTTAGCTGCATTTTTCATTCTCCTAAAACATGTGCCTGTTGCAACAAAACAACAATGTTGACCATTTCCCCTAATCTCTCATCTCCTGAAAGCCCAGAGCTCCAGACATAAGAACCATCGTATTATATCTCCTCATCACATTCTGCTGCTTGTACAGCTGAAAGAAAACACACATGCACATCCAATGCCAATATCCTGTAGTACCGATACCGAGGACGTCTTCAAATTGATTGAAATGAAAATGGTGCAGTGGATTTTTTGATTGATGCCATTTAATTTCCTTCGAGCTTGTAGCGATCTTAAGAATCAATCGCTGACAAGAAAAAACAACACCATACTGTTCCTTTAATCCATCAGCCTTACTTCATTTCACCTCCCTCACAGAACGTCTATTTTATGTAACTGCCCTTGTTGCACCTGAATTTCTTTTCACTCCGCCTTCGAGCACAAACAGCTTGAAATGTGACATATTTTTCGTCAGGAAGTCGAAGTTGTGTGGATTCCTCCGGAGGCCCTTACCACAAAGTTTAGATCCCCCGAAAAAGCGACTTTGGGAAAAGAAAGCATGAAAGCGTAAAAAATCTAATAAAGTCTTCCACGGTTGAACTTTTATTAATATTCAGGCCTGTTGGAGAGATTAAGGAGAGGGCAGACGGAGAGAAAAGAGAAGCTGCTATATTCTAACAGCGCTTGGTGGAGGATTAACGTGTCAAGGAGTCCCTTCCTAGTGATCTACAGCAGACAAGGTGACAAAGGTGCAAAAAGAGTCTAACTACCTGCATAATCCCTCACTGTCCTATATGGAATGGCTGCATATGTTATTGTTAATACTACAGAAAAATAATAAAGTGTCTGTGGTCCACAAAACAAGGAATATAAGTCAACAACAGTAAATATTGCTTAGCAGCCCTTAAGACTAAGTTAAATACAAATGCAACAAACGTAATTGTTAGAATTCAAATTATTATACTAGTTGTCTCTTTATCCCTCACTCTTTTTTCTTTCCTAGAGTGTTAATCCTGGTGTTAATAGTCAGGTTCCCTAATTATTCCCATTGTAAGCAGTTTACATGTGCAAGTATCATCAGCAAAGCATTTTACATCATGTCAGACATCATTTCAGATGAACCAAATGAAGCAAATATTATATATTCAGTTCTTTGTTCAGGAGCAGATGCTCGAAGCTCACAGTGCTTTGTGTAAAAAGCACTTAGCTGTATCACAGCTGAAGTCTTTCTGCTATATACAAGACTCTTCTCATAGAAAGTCAATGCCCATGGGTTCAGAGAGATGCCTCTCAATCTTTTATCCCAACTCTCTGGTTTATAGCTTTCTTCATTTTGTTGATATGATTTCAGATTTTCCAGGTTTGTCTGAATCCTAACATCCGACATTAAGTGCGAACTAATCTCTTATTACCCCTTACACGGGTCCAATGGAGAAAAACCTCCTCATCAAAGGTTAAAGATTTCTGCTTCTCTTTTGTAATAATATCCAATCGTTTGTTTTTATATTAAAGGTAGGGTTGGTAAGTTGTTTCTGAAACACTTGATTGTGGAAATCCTTTTGATGTCGCGTTAGCTATTAATGAATAAATGCGTCTGAAAAAATTAAATAAATAGACTGTAATAGGACTGTAATAAACGCAATTAATTATTTCATTTGCTGGCATACCCGTCTGTCACTAACTGACCAGCTGCCAGCTTTGAAGAGAGGGCGGATTGAAGGGGGGGATGTATCAGTTGCAAAGTGTAGCCTGGTGTTGCAACTTTTCCAGGATTACCAACCCTAGCTTTAAAGTCATACGTTGAGATCAGTTTACAGCACACCAGTACTGTTTCCTGCTTCCATTAGAGCAGTCGTTCTCCTGTAGGGACTAAATGCAAAATATAATTTCTTACTTAACTGCAAATCACCCACTTAATATAACTTCTCATCCACAGTATAATCTGGTTCCACAATCTTTAGCCTTTTATACACAGCCAGAAAAAGGAGTGAAACAAGTGCTTCTAATCAATGTGTTCATATGTGCTCGCTTCACTTTGTGCCAGCATCCTAAAAGTCTGCCCCACACCTTCCCTAACTCGGCACACAGCCAGGGGACACTTAAAGGGACACTTATCAGAGGTGTTCCTGTTTCTGCTGTCAGCCACATCTGGAAGCCTCCGCGTGTCCAGCTGTGCTCACAGCCGGTGGAAAGTGGTGGGCACCGACTGCACACAGAGCTGCAGGAGTCTCTTACTGAGGATGACGCTGGCGCAGATCAGCGCGATGCCACTTGCGATGGTGGAGACCACGACCGCCAGGATCAGCAGCGTCGACATCTGGCCCTGCGGAGCTGGACCCTGAGGAGCTGCTGGAGGAGAGAGAGATGAAGAGCGTTGATTAATACACATTGTGTTTGAATCCGACAAGCTATCCCAGTGTCCATGCATTTTTACCTAACAGAACAAAAAATGGGTCTTGATGGAAAAAAATTCAGGCATGTTTAGGGAACAGATTTATGAGTGTGTAAAATTTAGTGCAGATCAAAATAAAAATCTGGATCTAATGAATTTAAAAAGAATAAGGGGGCTGAGTGACACTCTAATATCTGTCAAGGGGCGGCCATAACAACCTACCTACAGTACCGATACACGTAACATTGTCGCTGGCCAGGACCTCATCTTCATCGCAGAGGCAGAGGATGAGATGAGTGTCTTCATCACGTTTGCAACTCTGCGTCTGACAGTGGCTGCAGTTCAGCTGCACCTTGATCTCACACTCGCCATGACTCTCCATCGCTAGAGAGAAAAATCATGTACGAACAGAAACACAAACACACACACGCACACAATGAAAACACAAACACCAATAACAAGCTATTTGTTTGAGGATATCATTAACTTTTGCTGGACACTCCAACAAGGCTTGCCGATGTGGTGTCTGAAATGCTATGTGTAGTCCTCCCCATAAAAGAAACGTATATGTGGGTTTGAGGTTCACCGGTCCTGAGGAATTTGGAGTAAGCCTGAATAAATAGTAGGGTGTTAGGACACACTTCAAAAGGGAACACTAAAATTTGAGATAGTATCTCTCTTCCCGTTACTGGATAACCGGGAAGAGCTGGATAAGTAACTAGATGTGTTTTAATTAGGTTTACGCAAACCCTCCTATATAAACGAGGAGATGAAGTTGCTTCGGGAGAAGAGATTCACATTGGCCCCGAATCTCTCTCCAGGCAGATTGCTTTGCTTGTACTGATGCTGAACTTTTTGTAATAAACCTTTATATACAATCAAGACGGTGTCATCCGAGATTCCTTCATCATCTTCACATCATCGCAACCCCAATATACGACACCGACATTAAATCTCTTTCTTTTCAGTTAACACCATGAAGAGGCCAAACCCAACAGAGAACTGATCTGACTAGTAAGTGCTGTCCAGGCTGCCAAAGTCTGAAATGACGTCTTCCTCAGAGCTTCACTTGTCCAAAAAACTATTAAAACCACATCAACAGCGGCCATGTTTGTTTATGGTGCAGAACGTGGATGCTGAAGTTTATTCTGAGTGGGTTTCACAGCCAACCACAGCTGAAAATAGATCCTGAACAAATAGATTATTTACTCCTGTTAGAGTAAATTGAGCTAAACATGACAGAGGCGGTTCTTTTTATACATGAAAGTGTGGTCACGACTTCTTTTCAAAGATTTATGTCTTCAATGGGCGTGAATGGGAAAGAGACTGGATGCCAAAGACACGCTGGAGAATTCAGAAAGTTTAAAAAGACAGATTTACGCTGATGGTTTTGGATGAGATTCATTGATAAAATATCACTGTCCTTGTATTTAAATTTCAAAACATTTAACATCTCGTCCTCAGGTACTGGATCAACATTATCTTCTATATCGGATATAGATAAAGCGGCAAAGTCTCCTCTCTTTGTATAAATATGAGGAGATGTGGGCCTCTACCATGTGTGTCATTAAATTAAACCTCATCCTTCACTTAGAGATGAGAAGATGTTTTATTACATTAAAGAAAAACATAATTGTCTTTCAAACTAAATCACGATAACATCTCTTTTTTGTCAGATTCCCTTTGAACGCGTTTCATGTCGCGGGGACGCTCATTGTGTTTGAAAGCGATGACTGGCAGCGCACGCAGCAGCAAACAACAAGCCCTTTCACATGAGAATGGATGTCTGTGTGCTGGCGCCGAGGGCAACCGGCTCCGTGAGGCTGTGAATTAGTCGCCTTCCTTCTTCCTCCCGCTGAATAATTAGAATCAGATGGCTGTTGGTCTCACACACACAAAAGAAAACAAAATACAGACACAACAGCATATACAGTATGTGGATATGTATGTGTGTGTGTTGATGTTCGAAAATATAGTTTGGCACACATACTCCACACACACACACACACACACACACACACACACACACACACACACACATACACACACACACACACACACACACACACCCTGATTGGATCAATTGCTCGGAGAACTAAGCGGACAGAATCCCAGGAACTCATGATTCAATCTTCACACCACCTGTGTCTCTCTGCTTTGAGATCAGATGTGCTAAACACTGTCTGATACTGTGAGAGTGACTCAGAGCTGCAGACATCATCCACATTTAACTTATATAACTCAAACTATGTCTTTTCATATGAATACATATGCAGAGTGGAGTGTTCTTAGTTACCAGTAAATCTGTTCATTGAGCCAATCTTCCTCTTTCATAAAATTACCCACACATCACATCAATTATTTCCCATTACATTTCTTATTTGTGTTATCATCATCTAGTGATCAATGTTCTATTCATTGATCTAATTCTTTCATTAAAGTTCTTTCTAGGAAACTTATATTGGTATTTCCAGCGTTCTGATCTTCACAACTAAGCTGCTTATCGAACGATCTCTGGCAAGGTGGTTTAGTTTTTGTCTGTGTTTGTCTGCTAGTTTCCAGGACTACGCAAAAACTACTGGACATATTTTCCAGGAAACTTGGTGGAAGGATGTGTTATGGGTCAGGGAAGAAGACACTTGTGGTTCTGGATCAGGGAGCGGATCTAGGAACTTTTTATTAATGTTTTTTTTCAATATACGCCACCTTGCATTACTCTACCCTCACCTGGACTAGTCTCCATCTTCATCACTATAACTGTCTTGATACGATCATGGTGTGACGTTGTGTTAGACTGAGTCTTACCTGCCAGAGGCTGCAGGAAGATCTCTCCCATTGGATGAATGAACGAGACGCCGTTCTGACCGTCGGATGTGATCTCATCTGTCAGCGCTGCGTCACCTCCTGTCACAGAATCCATGCTGTGAACTCTCCAGTTTCACAAATCATATCTACACCTCTCGGATTCTATTATGACATTTTATGTTGGCTATACTATGTTTTGCATACTTTTATTTATCTAACCTATATTGTACTGTCCCATGGAGATACAATATCTCTTCTACTGGGGAATCAGGTCAGGGAGGCTAAAATAAAGTCAAGCTGGGACAAATAAAAGATTTTTTTTTAAAACAGAACAGACACACAAACATACGGGAATCAATGTCAAAACTGAATAATGGAAAATAAATAAACAGCACATGTTAAAAGCAAGGACTTCTTCGAAAACAGATTTTAAAAGACTTTTAATTGTGCAAAGATTCAAAGCATGTGGTGCATGAAAGCAAAGGGCTTTTGTCAGTTTGTCGCTACTTTTAACAGTTTATTCAACAAAACATCAGGATGCTGGAGGTGATGGTGCTGCGGGGGCTGATTTTTGATTTTTTAGTGCAGGTGTAGAAAATTGGCAAAATATTGTTACCTCTGTACCCTCCTCCACCACCTCCAGCTGTGCAGGCTCCACCTCCACCTCCAAACCCCCCAAAGGTGGACCAGCTGAGCTTGGACAGAGCAAGTGGACACGATGACCCCCCCTCAGCGCCCTCCGCCAGAGACTTTCCAGCTCTCACTTGAGGACTGGGATCGTCTTTCCAGCCTCCACCTCCACCTTCAAGGAAACAAACGTAAATGTTTAAGTAAACAGGATTACATCCATCCTTAAAAGCCTCTGAGGCTGTGTACAGCGTTATTGTAACCATGTGGGATTTGGTTATAACAGAGATCAGATAGGCAGGTTGAAAGCCGGAGGCAACTTGAGGAACGTCTTTAATGGATGATGTTGAAACTAAACTGCAGGTTTGTGCTGCAGCTGCAATGTGACTGAGGCAGCAGGTGATGTTTATGGGAAATCCCAGTATCCTCAGCATTGCACTTTCATAACGTCAGGGGAAACACAAGAGAGGGACTTTTCAAAAATAGTTGTAATCAATGCCAGCTCAGTTCTCAGTACGGCTCAAGCTCAACAAATGCTGTACAAATGCAAAACTTACAGAATTTAATCAATCAAATTCTATTTGTATAGCCCATATTCACAAATCACAATTTGTTTCATAGGGCTTTATAGAATTGACAAAGGTCGAGAGCCACCAAAGACAATAAACAACTTTAATATTTACAAGATGGTACAGGTATATTAAACGACTGGTAAATATATTTGGATATGCTGCGTTCATGTTATATTTTGAGGTCAGCATTTTTTCTCAAGCCATCTTTGTTTTTTTGAAACCCCATTTGGAGGAGTGGGGGGGTGGAGCCAGACAGAGAGCTTAAGGACACTGCATGCCAGGGGGCAGATCAAGGGGTGGTGCTAGAGTACCTCACGGAATGATTGGCTCCTCTGTGTAAAGTGTGGCCCCTTTTATGGCCCCTGATTTAAAAAAACAACATCCAGCATAGCAGATGGGACTTTATATAAATACATAAATAAATAAATACAGTTTATTTGACGCATTTGAGTCCATCAACTCAATATCAGTATGTTTTCTAATGTTATAAATCAGGTGAGAATCAGGTTATTTTTTGCAAATACTTCTATAGAAACCAGTGGAGTCCCACTTCCGCACTAGCTTCACATTCCAGACGTCCATTATATATTATCATTCTTTTATTTTGTATACACCAAGCCATCAGTCTCAGTTTGCCAAGGAAAGAGCTCAGGCTGGTTGAGATTGCTTTTAAAAAGTTTGGATGACGTCCAGCTGGAGATTTGAATGATGCAGCCACAAGAATAAGTGGTGATGGATTGAGATGTTCTGTTGTTCTCAGGCAGCTGGTGGGCAGAGGTGTGAGAGTCAACAGCAGAGCTCTTCAGCCAGTCAGTCCCCCCCCCCCAAAAACAAAACAACACACAGAACCAGCACTGTTTCCTTTTGTTTAACATCCTTCAACAGCCCCACACGCAACCACTTACACATAATTACCTTGCTGACAGCCACAGGCAATCAACACAGCACATTAGCTTTTTTCTATTTATGTATAAAGCTGAATTTACTTTATGTCCTCCATCTTGTCACAGTTTTATAAGAGCTGTGGACAGCACAGGGCAGAGTAGCAAAGTCTTTTTTTCAAAACAAAACATCACAAACTTTTTTATATAGCACGTATATTTCTCACACACATTCACACTCTGGTGGGGAAATTCAGGGTTCAGGGTATTGCCCAAGGATGCTTCCACATGGTGCATGGAGGAGGTGGAGATCAAACCACGACCTTCTGGTTAGTGGACGATCGCTGATGAACCAATGATCAATAATCATGAGGAGTCAACAGGTTCAATCACGGACAGATGGGGACATCTGATCTACGCTGATGAGCAGATACAACTATGAATCCTGTTATTCATGATAATGACACACTGCAGGTCCAGTGTCATGTGACGGCGCGACATTTGGGGACATAAGAGTTCAATTCTACCCACCAACACACACAAACACACACGCATGCGCGCACACACACACACACACACACACACACACACACACACACACACACACACATATATACACACACACAGCTCCTGTACACAATAAGAACTTCAAACTACCACTGACACTCAGATCTTTATCTAAACAATCCCACAGAAGTTTCAATAAGATGAGGCAATACTGTAAAAGCAGAGTTGAGACTCTGCTGATCAGGGAGGATTTACTGAGAATGTTCCAGCAGGTGAAAGACCTGTCAGGAATGTCAAGATTTAACCCCGCTACATCCCACTATCCAAAGGCCACATTCTGCTGTGTGAGGACACACATGGCCATTCCAAGCACGTGCTTTTTTGAGTGCATGTGCACATGGTAGGAAAGGATTTAACCTTTTAGAAAAATAAAGACTGGAGTTGGAGTCACTCAGTGTTTAAGGTGTAAAGCCTGTTGTCATCTCTTCAGCACTTGAAAAGGCAGCTCATTTTTCACCAGAACACTTAAGCACCGGGATCATAAAGTGTAAAACCTGAGTCTGCAGGCAGCCTTCACATTCATCATGAATTATAATATATATAATATCTAAGTACTGCTGTTTACTTCATAACTGAGGTAATTGAGATGTTTTCTGTCTACAGCATCACATGGACATTAATATTCAGAGTATAGACCTTATTCTCAACAACACATTATTTCCATTATGATGTTTACATGAGTTGCTCATAGAATATTCCATTCATATTCCTGTTTACATGCTACAGAGCATCGTTGCAACGTCTCTGCCTTCATTACCTGTCATATCTGTTATGTTGACAATCTGACAAAGCCATAAAACACCCTTTAGATTACTTAAAGAAATGTGGAGGGAACAACCTCAAAGTCTAATATCTACCTTGGCACATGATACTGAAACTATTGTCATAAATATATGCCTCTCCAGGTCAATGACAAGATGAAGAGTTTTAGTTCATGAAGCCTTCAAACAAACATCCTGTTCTGATAGTAACATAACCTCTATTAATCATAGACTGTATACAAAAATGGACAATGCATTTCCACTCCTCCCACTAGATCTAGAAATTAAGCCAAAATCTGCAGGAGACAAATGCTGCCATCTTGCTACACCATCTTGCCATCACTGATGCATGCACTCAACCAATCACAAGTCAGTCTCGGCTGTCAATCATGTTGTTTCATTCTGCCTTTATAGCATCAAATAAAACCAAACTTATTAAAAATGAACACTTGAACACACATCACTGTGATAAGAAAGGTTAAAATGACAGAAACCACCCTTGAGAAAAGATCATTAAATGTGCACCTATGCTGCAGCCAACCAGCAGGTGGCGATCGAGATGCTTTTGCTTCACTTTAGGGGAACTGTCTCATTTATGGTCGATGATATTAACGCACCTGCAGCACCAGTTCGTCCATTGCTGCTGGGTCGTATAGTGCTGTTTTCATACTGCTCCAGTGGTATCTGGTCCAAACTGGACTCCGGGTCCTCCAGGTAAGCGTTTCCTCCTCCACCGGCTGCAATCAGCAAGGGAATGAGCTCGCCACTCTCGATCTGACAAGACAGCAACATCTAATTGAGAACTCTTCTACGTTGAAGTTGAGTGACGCACATGCATGTTATTTTCAACATTTTCACATCGAATGGAAGAGAGTTCAGACAACGCTTCAACCTCAGCAGAAGAGCAAATTTTACATGACCAGGGGAACCTCAATTTTTCATACAGACAGAAGATCGCAGTAGAAGTGACAAATGATCCACAAAGTAAATGAGCTGTCACCTTGAAGATGTAGGTAGCTCCGCCTCCTCCCCCTCCCCCTCCAGCCCACTCAGCGCCAGCCTCTCCCCTGAGGTCGTCTTCAATCACCGACCACTCGCCCAGGCAGATCTTCTGAGTCTGAGGGTTCCTCTGCACCGAGGGGAGAGAGAGAGATTTTCAGAGACAGACGGGGCCTCAACAAAAATATGAGGCAGGCTATAATCTTTTTTTCATTTTCCGTCACACTCTCTCTCGCCATATTAATCCCAGCGAGACAATGGACACGCCACTGAATCCTCCCAGCTTGATTACTCTCTCGCCGATACTCACCCCCGGGCACGCGTCCTCTCCCTGGTGGCCCACCAGGATGTAGAGTACATCTCCTTTCTCCAGAGGAAATATGGCAGAAATGAAGACCCCATGGTTGCGTTTATTGTGGTTTTTGGCTCCTTTCCCTCCTGCAGCACCGTAGGCGGAGATCCTGCGGGAGATCAGTACACCACAGTGGCATTAACTGCAGTGAAATAAACTGCTTTCAGGCTTCATGGCATAGATCATATAAAATATTTTGCAAACGGCTGTGCATGTCCGTTCTTATTTCCTCTTATAAACACACATTCTATTGATCTTGGCAGAAAGTGCAGCTGTGTATAATTTAGCCCGAGTAATTCAACACCCTGTAAATCCTGTGATTATCCTGCAAGTTTTATAGAGCCTCATTTCATGTGGTGATTGTGAGGTCCCATGACCCGCTGTGCACAGACAATCAAACAGCTTCAAGTCTTGATCTTTGGCATAGCCAGAACAATTTAGCTCCGTCACACCTCTAAATTGTCACTTAGCCCAGCTCTGTGAGTCATGCAACCTTACTAACACATGGTTTCTCTGCTCGGTGACTAAGCTCTGAAAAATAAAAGGCGTGTAAACACCACCGAAAGCCTTTTAGGTTATCCTGCATTCCACAAAACAGCTTGTAAAAAGCACTATGTTTTAAATTATAGTAGCTGTCAACAACACCAACAACATGTTAGTCATTTAAGACAGAGTGAAGACATAACTCTTAAAAATCAGGTCATACATAAATACTTTAAAAAGTAGAATTACACCCCCGTGGTTGAATGCCTCCACCAACCATTGCATCCGGTCGAATCTTTTCCCCCAGAACTGGAAGTCTGAAAACAAAGGTCACCCATCCCAAAAGTGAATGTTTGTAAATTTAAAAGGGTTCCTTGAAGATGTCCCTGATATATCCTGTTCACAAGACAAAAAAGTACGCAATTTGAAAAAAATCCCTGCAGGCGTTCTGGACATATTGTTTTCACCAAGGACGGGCAGACGAAAAACCCAACAACATATCTCTGGCACTGGCTGTTACAGGCGTGGATGAAGAGAAAGGACAACAAGACAGTGCATGTCTACCGGCTCAAAATGAACCAGAGTGCTGAGGTTACACACAATAACAAACCATGTTACCCAGTGCCTCTGTGACTCATTCATGTGTAACAGTAAAACTCTATCTATAGTCGATACTTCCCATTCAAAAAACATTGGGTTGAAAACTACGAAATCTGGGTATTTTTCAGCTACACTGCTGCAAAACTATTGGACCAACCATATTCTGGGTTAATCTAACAGAGTGAGATGGGCCAAACAGTCTACACAAATATGGATTCATATTAACTCAAAGGTTTGGTTCATTCTACCTCATAAAACATATATAAAATGTTTGCTCTGTAAGGCACATCCATCCCTTCTATATACATCGCAGGTGTCAGGGTCAATCTGGGGTTCAGTTTGTTCATCATGCAGACTGAAGGAGGCAGAGAGACTCTGGCTGGGTTGTGAATTATCTCCATGATGTGTTATACATCACCAGGGCTGATCCAACAACAAAACCAGAAAATAATAATAAACAAATAAATAACCCCCAAAAAATGGCCCAACAGGCTCAACCCAGCATTTTTTCTGAGAATTGGTATTGGTTCTTTTAATGGGATTTTAAAGGAAAATAAAAAATCAGATTTTAGAGAAACCTTCACATTGCTGCTCAGATGAATGAGCCTAACATCCATCCCCTCATCACTTACAGATATCTGTTGGTAGCAGGTACTCTCCACATTTGGACTCCTCTTAGCGGTCCTTCCTTCCCCACGGTGACACTGACATTTTTGTTCCTGTAGGTGCTGTCGCACTGGGCCTGGGTCGGGCCCTGAGGACCACTGGCACCGCATGAGTTAAACCACCACGTCATCAGAGAAACCTCTAGAAAAATGGAGACAGAGTATAGGTGGTATGAGTCAGGGAAGAACCATTCAGTGTTGGTGTGGATCAGGATCAATGGGTTGATCCAGGAATCATTATTTTGACTTTCATTAACATTGTGAAAGGACATAAGGAGATCATTATAAAAAAGACTCAGGATAATGATTCTGGTTTTGTAAATATTTTTAAGTGGGGTGATATTTATCCAGCTACTGTATGATAACAAATATATTGAAATATTGAAACTATACCAGAGAGTGGGTTTTTTGCCTGAGTTTCCTGTGAGCAGTTTGCACATTTCTGTGCACAATGTTCATACAATGTATCTTTTCTCAATGCAATATTGTGATATAGTGGCCAATCAGCCTTGGCAGCGGATGAATGTCCTTCCAGTTCCCTCAGTGGACACATGCTCTCTCTGTTTGTGTATGAACCTTGCCTCCCCTTTTCTGGATTTTGGATCCTTGCCTGCTCTTTGACTGTTTTTGTTTCCTGTTTCAGACGGACTTCTGTATATGGACTGCTCTCTGCACTTGCCTGCTCTGCATAGATTTGGTTGATTGGATTTCCCTCACTGGTTTTGGACTTTTGCCTTCCTCAACTCCTTACAGCCAGTTGCCCTCTTCTTACTAGTTTGTCACATCTGTGTGTTCCAATTATGTTTTCAGTATACTATCCTCCCCCTGGTGTGTCAATTCTGCATGCAGCGTGGATTTAAAATGACTCGCTGGGAAAACAACGGTTAAAAAATATGCACTCTACCTGAGGCTGAGGGCTCCGGTAAGGGGCTGAAGATATCCTCCAGGCCGATCATGGGCAGCAGAGAGTTGATATCTGAGGAGAGGGAGAGTAAAGAGAGAAAAGATTCCATTTTACCGGAAATCATATTCATACAGACAGGACACAAAGAACAATTAAAGCAAGGGTATTAGGGATCAGACTAATTCCTGTGAAAGATCATATACATTTTTTCCTATCCACCATGTTGCAAACAGAAATGTAATGTTTTCACGGTTTTACAGGATTTCTCTCAACCCACAGCATCCATCCAGATCCTGTCCTTTGTCAGGCCCTTCCCTAAAAGTAATCCGATATTGTTGAACTTACTAAAGCAACACCAGCGTCCACGGTTCAGTCTCTACATCAAAACGGCATGCAAGTCTCTGAAGCACAACATGATCCCAGCACAGAGTGAGGTCATAAATGTAATAAAGACAATCATCAAGCTAAGTCGTGGGCTTGCTATAGTTAATCTGGGATCCTGACCAGAACCTGATATCAGTCAGAAAATGTTCCAGTCTTGCTCAACAGGATCTGAGCATCATAATTGTGCCTCCACTCCGGTTGTAAACCAGCTCTCGTTTAAATCATGCACAAACAAAAACACACTTATCCCTTCAATCAAATCACAGTGCTGCCAAAATTCGAATCTACTCTTGCACCAGACTGAATGGTACAATACATCCAGAAACCTCTAAATGGACTTGAGAGAGAGAAAAAGAGAGAGAGAGAGAGACAGAGAGAGAGACAGAGAGAGAGATGGGGGGGCTGACTGAATCGATGCTGTGCGCAACTCTGCTATGAAGAAAGATTTTACCCATTTGAAAAATGATTATTATCATAATAATAATGATAATTCATCTTAATTTATTATTATTGCAACATCATCTTTATGCCAAATAATAGAAAACAGTGTTACATTGCTGTAGCATCTCATGGTGGCATGTTGGCATCAGCTCACCTGTACTGAAGCAGGTCGCTCCAATTGCAATGTCATCGATAGCAACATCAGCATTGGAGTCTTGTCCCCACACAGCTGTCACCTTCACATGGAACCTGCAGCCAAACACAAAACTTTTTATTATTAATGTGGTCTTCATGTGAAAAGCAACAGGATACCAACAAAAAACCCAGCTGATATTAAAGAACTCGTCTTTAAGTATGTAGATGGATGCAGCTATTTTCCATCTGTCTAATTATTAATCTAAAGTATTCTGTGTACTCATCGTAGACTCTAAATAAAGATGGACGACATGTCTCCACCACCTCTCACTGCCCCGAAATGAAGCCAAAATATTTATCATATGAACACGGCCATCTTGTACCTTTTCCAGTAGCCATTGGGTTGAGTGGAGTGCGTATTTATCGAGAGTCCATAAATATACATGCACAATCGTGAGTCAGTCTCAGCTGTCAATCAGGAGATCTCAGCCCGTACAGCATCGAATAACTGATTAAAAACAAACTATCTGGAAAAACAGTGTGATGAGAACTACCAAACATTACAGACACCATCTGTGAGAGAAAACTATTGAACGTGTATCGCTGCATTTCAGTTTGACCGATGTTCCGTCTGCTAACATGAGGGAAGAGGGGTTTATGACTGAAATTGCAGCCAGCCACCAGGGGGCAATGAAGACGCCTTGGCTTCAGTTTTGATAGGGATGATAAGTTGAATAATTGGGGTTTAACATTTATACACAAGACACTATGTCTGATTTATTGACTGTGTACTTCCCTGTTACATTATCTGCTCTACTATTCTATTGTTTTCCTTTTACCCACCCATGATGGAGGCCAGTCAACTGCAGGGCAATATCTTCCCAGTCGTCTGCCTGCTGACCATTTCTCTCCCAGACCAGCGGTGCAGTGCTGGTCCTGTTCTCCTCTATAGCCACCAGCAGTGAACCATTAAAATCCCCATACATATACAGAGAGAAGCGCAGCTGCACAGAGACACAGGAGATCAGCAAAGATTTAACAAAATACTTTTCATATGACTGGCGCTCGAGAGCAGTCTCAACGAGGTAAACAGAAGTACTGGAATTGAATAATTCAACAAGTGCATCAGTCTCAATAACTGACCTGGCAGGCAGCAGAGGAGACTGGAGGAGGGAAAAATGAGCTCTGAACAGAAGCCTCTCGAAGAGAATTACTGTCTCTTACCTGCAGAAACAAGAAGTAGCCTGCGGACACACACAACACATGTGACTCAGCAGAACAGTTATCAGTTTGTTGCATTTCTAAAGCCACATTTAAACTCTCTGTATTGCCGAAGAAAAACCTATGAAAAAAGGA